GAACCCACCACCTTAGGTGTATGTGGCTGGTGCCTTAGCCACTTGAGCCACAGGTGCTGAGCCTAGGCCTTTTTTTTTTTTGGAGACGGAGTCTCACTATGTTGTCCTTGGTAGAGTGCGATGACATCACAGCTCACAGCAACCTCTAACTCTTGGGCTTAAGTGGTTCTCTCGCCTCAGCCTCCCAAGTACCTGGGATGGGCCTCGCTTTTTTTTTTTTTTTGAGACAGAGTCTCACTCTTTCATCCTTGGTAGAGTGCCATGGTATCACAGCTCACAGCAACCTCTAACTCTTGGGCTTAAGTGATTCACTTGCCTCAGCCTCCCAAGTAGCTGGGACTACAGGTGCCCACCACAAAGCCTGGCTATTTTTTGTTGCAGTTGTCATTGTTGTTTAGGTGGCCCGGGCTGAGTTCCAACCTGCCAGCCTTGATATATGTGGCTGGCACTGTAACCACTGTGCTACAGGCATGGAGCCAACTTTCTTTTTTTTTTGAGACAGTCTCACTTTGTCACCCTCGGTAGAGTGCCATTGTGTCACAGCTCATGACAACTTCCAACTCTTGGGCTTAAGCGATTCTCTTGCCTCAGCCTCCCAAGTAGCTGGGACTATACGTGCTGGCCACAATGCCTGACTATTTTGTTGCAGTTGCCACTGCTGTTTTAGCTGGCCGGGGCTGAGTTCTAACCCGCCACCCTCAGTATATGGGGACAGTGCCCTACACACTGAGCCACAGGTGCTGCCCATGGACCTCGCTAAAAAAAGTTTGTACAAAGTGAAGGGGAGTCTGAGGTTCTCTGAGGCTTCTCCTATCCCAACCAAGTCCAGACTGGCTATTAGCGCCAGAGTGTGAAGCAGAGAGAAGCTGTCAGTAAGTGTTTAAATAACTTAAAATTTTATTATGGGTAGAAATGAGTGGCTTGAGGAATCAGGACTAAAAGCAACTTCCCAAGGTCAAGATCAGATAGGACAGGCAGAGGTTATGCCTGAGCCTTATCTGGGGCATGCAGGGCTGGCAACATGAGGCTGGACACACTAAGGGACTCTGCCCTGCCAGTCCCTGCCACACTGGGGAGACCAGAAGCAACCCAAGGCCCTGTGACTTGACCACAGAGGGGCAGGAAGAGGTCTAGTCAGGCTTCCCTCCCCTTGGGGACAGGAGTATAGGCACTGTGGGAAGGGAACACCTGACTTCTCCAAGTCCAAGGAGGGGGCTCTTCCCTGGGAACACTCTGTGTCACAGAGAAGGATTTCCTGGCACCATCTTCCCCTGACCTAGAAAGAGGCAAGAGTGTGTAGGGACTGGAAGGGTCGGGCCCAGGAGGTGGCATCAGGGCTTGAGCTCAGCTTTCCATTTCTGCAGCTTCTCATCCATGGCCTGGAGCGTGGATTCATCCTGCACAAGCAAAGATTGGTCCTACCCTCACCTACACTCCCCAAGGCCTCGGGAACTTGAGCTGTTTCCTCCCCCAGCCCCACCCTTTACCTTCACAAAACAGAAGCGGATATAGTGGTCAAAGAGCTTCCGATGCGGCTCGCTGTAGAAGATGGACACAGGGATGGATGCCAAGCCCTGGGGAGGAGGATGGCCACGTCTCAACGTGGCCTCAGCTCAGGGGGACATAGAGAGCCTCAGGGTGGGGACAAAGGGAAGTTAGCTCCAGCACCTCAAAGTGCTGTGCTAAGGTCAGAGGAAAAGAATTGACAATGTCATGCCTAGTTCCTCCTGTGTACAGAGGGGATGGAGGCCGAGAGCAGCAAGATGGTGCATCAGGGCAGGACAGAAACAGAGTGAAAACAAGCCTTGAGTCATGAATCTGAGGCCGAATATGGGGGCTCACTCCAGCAATCTTGGCACTCTGGGAGGCTGAGGCAGGAGGATTGCTTGAGCTCAGGAGTTCAAGACCAGCCTGAGCAATTGCAAGTCCCTGACTCTACTAAAAATAGAAAAACTAGCTGGGCATTGTGGCAAGTGCCTATAGTCCCAGCTACTCAGGAGACCGAGGCAAGAGGATCTCTTGAGCCCCAAAGTTTGAGTTTGCGGTGAGCTATGATGAATGGCACTCTACCCAGGGTAACCGAGTCTCTGTTTAAAAAAAAGAAAAGTCATGAATCTCAGCTAGAAGGACAAGCTTAGAGATAATGGCCAACTCCTCACTGTACAGACCGGAACACCAAGTCCCAGAGAGGTCCTGCCTGTCTCTGGCATTTTTGTGCAAATCAGAAGCAGGTACAAGCATGCAGGGCTCACAGCAGAGGCTGGGCTGGATTGTGGCCCATCAGCCCCTTGGCTGGGCACCCTGGAACAGCCTTCAACCTGTGAAACCATATACAGCTGGCCCTGCCCACCTTGTTCTTGATCATCCACTTGACAAAGCGGCTGTCGTAGGGCTCATCTGCAGTGCCAGGCAAGTCAGGCATCCTTCTCTCTGTGGAACAGAGGTCATGCTGAGCCCTAGATGGCCTCCAGCCTCCCAGACACTGCCCCAGACTGGCCAGTCCCACTCACTGAAGTCCGAGATGTCTGTGATGAGGAAGTAGCTGCCCTGGGGGATGACGGGCTTCAGGCCCACTGACTGCAGGCTGCGGATCATGTGGTCACGCCTGCGCTGCATGGCCTGCGGGAGCTCCACAAAGTAGCTATTGGGTTGGCCAAAGTGCACCTGCTCCCACTTAAAGCTCCAGGCTACTGCAGCCTAGGCAAGGCAGATGGACCGAGAGGTCAGGTGTCTCCTGATGCTCCTTTGTTGTAGATCCCCTCCCCCATCACTGTAGGGTGTCCTGCTCCTCCTCACCTGGCCCTGTGTGGGGCAGTGGAAGATAGAGTTCTGGTGTACAGTCCGCAAGTGCTTCATGATGTTATCTGGACCCAGGACCCAGCCCACCTGGACCAGAAACACAGGCAGGAGATGAGGCCCTTCCAGGCCTGGCCAAACCCTTTCTCAAGTTCCAGGCCCACCTGCCGTGGATCTTGGGGAGGAGGTTACCCTTTACCCTCATCAACTCACCTTCCAGCCAGTGGCACTAAAGGTCTTGCCAGCACTGCCGATGGTCAGGGTCCGTTCCCACATGCCAGGGAGGCTGGCTACCCAAGGCCAAAGAGAGCAGCCACTGAGATGGGGGTATAGCCTGTGCCCCAGTGGCATTCGCAGGCCCAACTTTCTGGACTCCTCTATACACTAAGTTCTCTGCAGGACTTGTTTCATCTCACTCCCTCAACAATCTGGGGCAAATGCTACTGTGATCCTCTGCACTCAGGGAGGAAAAGGCCACAGGACCTGTGTGACTCCTGACCTCTGGGTCCTACACCAGGCATGACTCTGAAAGCAGGTCAAGCTCCTGCCACAAAGGGGAGGGCCTAGGCTGGCCTGGCTCACCGATGCTGATGTGCTCGTGGCCGTCATAAACCAGCCACTGGTAGACCTCATCAGTGATGCACACCACGTCGTGCTGCTGGCACAGGCTGGCCACCAGCTCCAGCTCCTCCCTGGAGAACACCTGTGGGGACCAAAGGAGGGCACAGACCTGCAACCAGGACAGTCCCCAAACATGTAGGTCTGTTTGGAGAGATTAACGGTTCCATGCCATCCCACTGATCCCTACAACATGGACCCAGGAGGCCCGTTCTTTCAAGATCCAGGCTCGCTGCTGAGGAAACAGTGCTAGAGGCTAAGTAACTGTGAAGGTCACTGGGAAGTGATGGACCCATCCCACTCTTCCACCCCAGCCCTTATGCCTTCCCTGCTCATTCCTGGCTGCTCTCCCTGGGGCTGGCTTCTGTAGCCTTGATCCACAGAACTCATCATGTATGGTTCTCTCACCTCCCAGATAAAGAAACAGAGGCCCCACAGCAGCAAGTCAGGAGCAGTGTAGGGAATATGAACCCAGTCTGGAGGGGTCTCTGAAAGGGTCTCTCAGGTACCTTTCCTAGGGGGTTGTTGGGTGTATTGAGGATCAGGGCTTTGGTGCGAGGGCTGAATTTGCTGGCCAGCTCTGTGGGGTCCAGCTTCCAGTTGCTGCTGGAATCCAGTTCCCCATCCTGGATGGGACTCTGCAAGAGTAGGTGGCAGCAGGTAGCAGTACTTACCCACCTGACACTCAGCTCCTCCCCCAGGCAAAATCTGTCCTCACCTCCTCTCCTCCACTCTCCCAGCTCAGAGGAGCTGTCCTCTTTCACTTCCTTCCCCCTTTCCTGCCCCTCAGGGTCCAAGTCAGCCCTGGGGACCCTCCACATACCCATACCCCATCTAACTTGCTTACCGGCTTCAGGGACACAAACACAGGACGACCCCCTGCCATCAATGTCATGGGCTCGTAACAGTCAAAAGAGGGTTCGATGATGATGACCTGATGTAAGGGTCAGATTAGCTGGGGTCAGCACAGCCCTGGCCCTGCCCCCACCCAGCCCAAGTCTGGCTACTCACCTCATCACCGTCATCCACCAGGGCCTGGAAGGATGTGAACAGGGCACCATAGGCTCCCACAGTCACCAGCACATTCTTGTGTGGGTCCACCTCCTGGCCCAGCAGCTTCCCAAAGAAACTTGCCAGGATCTCTGTCAGTGGTGGGTAACCCTGCAGGACAGCAGGGATTAGTCATCAAGTCCAGCCTAGGCCCACTCTCATGCCCATCCTTCCGCCAGCCTTGCAAGAGAGGTATTATTTGATCCCTACCATTTGATAGATAGAAAAAATAAAGACCCAGAAAAGGAAATAACTTGTCTAAGATCACACACAGTTGATGGGTAGGAATAGGACTTGACTTTGCAGCTCTGGAGGTATCCCACTTTGATTTTTTTTTTTTTTTTTAAGAGATAAAGGCTTTTTCTTTTTTGAGACAGAGTCTCAAGCTGTCACCCTGGGTAGAGTGCCATAGCATCACAGCTCAAGCAACCTCCAACTCTTGAGCCCAAGCGATTCCCCTGGCTCAACCTCCCAAGCAGCTGGGACCATAGGCATCTGCCACAATGCCCAGCTATTTTTTTTTTTTCCATTATTGTTTCAGTTGGTCTGGGCTCAAACCCGCCAGCCTCATTGTATGTGGCCAGAGCCCCACCCACTGAGCTATGGGTGCCATCTTGAGGTTTTTTTTTGGAGACAAGCATCTCAAGCTGTCACCCTTGGTAGAGTGCCATTGAGTCATAGCTCACAGCAACCTCCAACTCCTGGGCTTAAGGATTCTCTTGCCTTAGCCTCCCAAGTAGCTGGGACTACAGCTGCCCACCTCAACGCCCAGCTATTTTGTTGTTATTGCCATTGTTGTTTTAGCTGGCCCTGTCCAGGTTTGAACCCACCAGCCTCAGTGTATAAGGCCAACACCCTATCCATTGAACTATGGATGCTGCCTTGATTTCTTTTTTTTTTTTTTGAGACAGAGTCTCATTATGTCACCCTGGGTAGAGTGCCGTGATGTCACAGTGCACTGCAACCTCAAACTCTTGGGCTTAAGCAATTCTTTTGCCTCAGACTCCCGAGTAGCTGGGACTACAGGCACTTGCCACAATGCCCAGCTATTTTTTGATGCAGTTGTCATTGTTGTTTAGCTGGCCTGAGCTGGATTCGAACCCACCACCCTTGGTGTATGTGGCTAGAGCGGTAACCATTGTACTACAGGCACTGACTCCTGATGTGTGTGTGTGTGTGTGTTATTGTTGTTTTAGACAGCGTCTCAAGCTGTTGCTCTGGGTAGAGTGCTATGGCGTCATTCCTCACAGCAACCTCCAACTCTTGGACTCAAGCAATCCTCTTGCCTCAGTTTTTCTATTTTTAGTAGAGACAGTGTCTCACTCTTGCTCAGGCTGGTCTTGAACTCATGAGCTGAGGCAATCCACCCACCTCAGTCTCCCAGAATGCTAGGATTACAGGCGTGAGCCACTGCACCCAATACCCCACTTTGAGAAGACCCTTGGATCCATAAGCTTATTTGCTGAGGACACTTATAAAATACTCAGGGCTAAGCCAAGTGACTGATACCTTGTCTAGAATATAAAAATGAAAATTTTCTGTACATCAGAAGGTGTCATGAGCAAAGTTAAAAGACAAAAGCATTGTGACATAAGATACACTCCCAAATGCAAACATGAACAAAGCAGCAAGACAAAAATAACATACCCAAATGCAGAAATGAACAAAAATGCTGTTGCATACAAAAATACTAACCAAAGCAAAGCAAATAAAAGCAACATTGAGGGACAGCGCCTGTGGCTCAGTGAGCAGGGTGCCAGCCCCATATACCAAGGGTGGTGAGTTCAAACCCAGCCCTGGCCAAACCGCAACAAAAAAATAGCCGGGCGTTGTAGTGGGTGCCTGTAAGTCCCAGCTACTCAGGAGGCTGAGGCAAGAGAATTGCCTAAGCCCAAGAATTGGAGGTTGCTGTGAGTTGTGATGCTACGGCACTCTACTGAGGGTGACAAAGTGAGACTCTGTCTCTAGAAAAAAAAAAAAAGAAAAGAAAAAGCAACATTGAGGGGGAAAAAAAGCAACATTGAAATGCTGCTATAATATTATGAGAATATGTTAGGCTGGGCTTGGTGGCTCATGCCTGTAATCCTAGCACTCTGGGAGGCTGAGGTGAGTGGATTACTTGAGTTCACAAGTTTGAGACCAGCCTCAGCAAAAGCCAGACCCTATCTCTAAAAATAGCGAGGTGTTGCGGTGGACACCTGTAGTCTCAGCTACTAGGGAGGCTGAGGCATAGAATTGTTTGAGCCGAAGAGTTTAAGGTTGCTGTAAGGTATGATACCACTGCACTCTGCAGAGGGTGGTAAGTTGAAACTCAGTCTCAAAACAAAAAACAAAAAACATATATATATGTTAGTCTGGGCAGTGCCTGTAGCTCAATGGGTAGAGTGCTGGCCACATACACCCAGGCTGGCAGGTTTGAACCCAGCCCCAGCCAGCTAAACAACAATGACAATTACAACAAAAAAATAGCTGGGTACTGATGGTGGACACCTGTGATCCCAGCTACTTGGAAGGCCGAGGCAAGAGAATCGCTTAAGCCCAAAAGTTTGAGGTTACTGTGAGCTGTGATACCATAGCACTCTACCCAGGGCAACATAGTGAGACTCTGTCTCAAAAGAAAAAAAAAAGTTAGTCTGGGTTTAGCGGTTTATGCCTTTAACCTCAACACTTTGGGAGGCCAAGGTGGGAGGATCACTTGAGGCCAGGAGTTCAAAATCAGCTTGGGAAACACAGTGAGATGCCATTTCTAAAATAAACACTTAGCCAGACATAGTGGTATGTGCTTGTAGCCCAGCTACTCAGGAGGCTGAGGCAAGAAGATGGCTTGAGCCCAGTAATTTGAGGTTGCAGTGAGCTATCATGGTGCCACTGCACTCCAGCCTGGACCTTGTCTCAAACAAAAAACAAACAAAATATATATATATGTATATATATATGGGGGGGGAAGGAGAGGGAGAGCGCTATTTTATTTTATTTTTATTTTTTTTGAGACAGAGTCTCATGCTATCACCCTGGGTAGAGTGCTGGGGCATCACAGCTCACAACAACCTCAAATTCTTGGGCTTAAGCAGTTCTCTTGCCTCAGCCTCCTAAGTAGCTGGGGATACAGGCACCCACCACACTCCCCAGCTAGTTTTTGGTTATAGTTGTCATTGTTGTTTGGTAGGCCTGGACTGGATTCGAACCTGCCAGCTCCGGTGTATGTGGCTGGCGCCCTAGCCGCTGAGCTACAGGCACTGATCCTGATTCAGGAGTTTTACTTTGAAGAAATCCACCTATATACAAAGCTGTCCACATCAGGATACTCGCTATAGCATTGTTTGTGATAATGAGATATCTGATATGATACTAGTGTCTATCAGCATAAGGCTGGTTAAATTAATAATGGCACATATAGGTGAAGGAGTGCCGGGACTTCCCTTTAACACATGGCTCCCTGGCATAATGAATATTTTCTTTTTCTTTCTTTTTTTTTCACTTTGTTGTCTTTGGTAGAGTGTGGTGGCGTCACAGCTCACAGCAACCTCAAACACTTGGGCTTAGGTGATTCTCTTGCCTCAGCCTTCCAAGTAGCTGGGACCACAGACGCCCACCACAACACTCAGCTATTTTATTTTTTTAATTTTTTGGTTGTAGTTGTCATCATTTTTTGGCAGGTCCAGGCTGGATTTGAACCCACCAGCTCCAGTGTATGTGGCTTGGCATCCTAGCTGCTGAGCTATAGGTGCCGAGCCCATAATGAGTATTTTTAATAAAAGGTCTTTGAAGGGCAACAGATGGAAACAGAATTTTCCTCTATCTACATAAAAGACCCATCGACCCAACAAAAAAAATTATTTATTTAATTATTTATTTATTTTTGAGACAGTCTCACTATGTCACCCTTAGTAGAGTGCCGTGGCATCACGGCTCATAGCAACCTCCAACTCTTGGGCTTAAGCGATTCTCTTGCCTCAGCCTCCCAAGTAGCTGGGACTACAGGAGCCTGCCATAGCACCAGGCTATATTTTTGTTGTAGTTGACATTGTTGTTTAGCAGGACCTGGCCAGGTTCAAACCCACCTATGTGCCAGTGCCCTAGTCACTGAGCTATAGGAACTGAGCCTATTTTTTATTTTTTTGAGACAGAATCTCACTCTGTCACCCTAGGTAGAGTGTGGTAGCATCATTACTCACAGCAACCTCAAACTTTTGGGCTTAAACAATGCTCTTGCCTCACCCTCCCAAGTAGTTGGAACTACAGGCAACTACGACAATGCCCAGCTAGTTTCTGTATTTCATTTAAGTAGAGACAGGGTCTCGTTCTTGCTCAGGCTGGTCTTGAAGTCCTGAGCTCAGGCGATCCACCTGCTTTGGCCTCCCAGAGGCCAAAGTATTACATTAGTATTACAGGCCTGAGCTGCTGAGCCTGGCCCTTGTATACCACTTGTACTATTAGTTTACTTTGTGAGTTGAGTTTTCAGCAAACCTTCAGAGCGTGAAGGAAAAGCTTTCCCTTGGTCCTTAAATAGGTGACAGAATACTATGCAGCTATTAAAAAGAACGAGGCTGTTCCAACATGGAAATATACATGCAATATTCTTTTTAACAAAATAAGATATAGGACATGTATAGCATGAGTCCATTTGTGTTAAAACATGCATATATTTTTACAGGCTTTTTTTTGAGACAGAGTCTCACTATATCGCCCTGGGTAGAGTGCTGTAGGACTCTATTACAGCTCACAGGAACCTTCAACTCTTGGGCTTAATCGATTCTCTTGCCTCAGCCTCCCAAGTAGAGGGGACTATAGGCACCTGCCACAATGCCCAGCTATTTTTTGTTACAGTTGTCATTCTTGTTCAGCTGGCCCAGGCTGAGTTCAAATCGATCAGCCTTGGTGCATGTGGCTGGTGCTGTAACCACTGTGTTACAGGTGCCAAGCCTGTTTTAACTTTTTGTTGTTGTTGTTGTAGTTTTTGGCCAGGGCTGGGTTTGAACCCACCACCTCCAGCATATGGGGCCAGGGCCCTATGCCTTGAGCCACAGGCACCGCCCAACTATTTTTTTTTTTTTCTGTTTTAAATTTTAAAAATGCCTGTAAAGGCTCAGTGCTCTTAGCACAGTGGTAATAGCACTAGTGACATACACTAAGGCTGGCAGGTTTGAACCCGGCCCAGGCCAGCTAAACAACAATGACAACTGCAACAAGAAAAAGCCAGGCGTAGTGGCCTATAGTCCCAGCTAACTTGGGAGGCTGAGGCAAGAGAATTGCTTAAGCGCAAGAGTTTGAGGTTGCTGTGAGCTGTGACACCACAGTACTCTACTGAGGGAGACATAGTGAGACTCTATCTCAAAAATATAAAATTAAATAAAATAATAAATAAAATGTTAAAACAGTTGGGGTGGCACCTGTGGCTCAAAAGGATAGGGCGCCGGCCCCATATGCCAGAGGTAGTAGGTTCAAACCCAGCCCTCGCCAAAAAAAAAAAGTTAAAACATCTAGAACACTCTTCAACAAAGTAGCAAGATGCGGGCAATGGTTATCTCTGAATGGGGAATTGGAAGGGACACCCCCCCCCCCCAGGCCATTCTGGTGCATGCCAAAGTTTAAGAACCAGAGTTCACATTGGAAGCTTAGTAAATATTTATTATATGGCCCTTTACAGGAAAAGTTTGGATTTAAAGTGTAATCCAGGCTCAGCGCCTGTGGCTCAAGTAGCTAAGGCGCCAGCCACATACACCTAAGGTGGCGGGTTCGTATCCCCAGCCCGGGCCCGCCAAACAACAATGATGGCTGCAACCAAAAAATGTTGTGGTGTTTGGTGGGCGCCTGTGGTCCCAGCTACTTGGGAGGCTGAGGCAGGAGACTCGCTTGAGCCCAGGAGTTGGAGGTTGTTGTGAGCGTGATGCCATGGCACTCTACCCAGGGGGATAGCTTGAGGCTCCGTCTCAAAAAAAAAAAAAATGAAAATAAAGTGTAATCCAAGCAGCAGCTTGTCTTTCAGGGGTTGGTTTAACTGTTATCTCTGTCAGTAAGGTTTTCCCAGTCTCCCCAGATTTCATCCTCTCTTTCCTGGTCCCACTGTACCCCCTCAACCTCCATCACAGTACATATCAACTAACTGCCTTTGTCATGACCAGGTTCTCAGCTGCTTTCCCCACTGAACAATGAGACACAGGGCTTGGGACAGTGGAGACACTCAGCAAACGTGGAACTGTAGCTTGACTGAATTCCTGGGTCTTTGCCCAGGACACTGACACCTATGGGAGCTTGATGTCTAAAAATGCCTGGCCCTCATCTACCACAGGCGTCTAAGAGAGGCAAGGAGACTCACAAATGCCTTGGTGTACTGGTTGAGCATGAAGTCCCCGCTGACAGCACGCTGAAAGGCTTCCAAAGCGAAGTCTGGGGGTGCGAAGTCGGGGAATCCCTGCCCCAAGTTCACAATGCCAGGCTCACTGGAGAGTTTGACAAATTCCACCCTAGGGAACAAATGGAGAGTAAGCACCAGCCCACCCCTCCATTCTGATCTTGACGTCTGCCTCTTTCCAGTGCAGTGTGAGCATGTGCAGAGCCAGTTCTAGGAAAACTGGGCAACCAGCATGTGCCTTGGCCTCAAGACCTACATGAGGGCACAAGCAGTCCCCTGCTTTGGGATCAGGCAGGCCAAGTACCACGTCCAACATGTGGGACAGCCCAGGGGTTTTTGAACTTCCATGCCCAGCTGATTTCTCTATTTTTAGTAGAGATGGGGGTCTCAGAATGTAGTGTAGGCTGGTCTCAAACTCCTGAGCTTAAGCAGTTCTCCTGTCTCGGCCTCTCAGAGTACTAGCATTACAGATGCAGATGTGAGCCACTGTGCCCAGCCCAGTTTATGATCTTTTCTTTCTTTCTTTTTTTTTTTTGAGACAGAGTCTCACTTGGTCACCCTTGATAGAGTGTCATGGCATCTTGCTCATAGCGACCTCAAACCCTCGGGTTCAAGCAATTCTCTGTACCTCAGCCTCCCGGGTAGCTGGGAATACAGGCATCTGCCACAGCGCCAGGCTGTTTTCTAGAGATAGGGTCTTGCTCTTGCTCAAGTTGGTCTCAAACTCATGAGTTCAGGCAATCCACCTGCCTCAGCCTCCCAAGTGCTAGGATTACAGTCATGAGCCACTGCACCCAGCTCCCGTTTATGATCCTGACCTTACTCTGGACAGACAAGGGCTGGGCCCTGGCACTGGGCATCTCTGGCTCCCAGCAACCTTTGTTCCAGCTTTGTGAGTGGATGTCTCTCTAGGGATACCGGGATACCTCCTCCAGATAAGGAGGGTGGGCTGACTGGGAGAGAGAAGTCAGTCTTGGCTGACTTGAATTATCATATCAATAAATATAATTTATGTTTAAAACTTTTCATTTTAACAGCATGCCAGCATGGTGGCATGGCAGCTCATGCCTGTAATCCTAGCACTCTGGGAGGCTGAGACAGGTGAATCACTTGAGCTCAGGAGTTCAAGACTAAGCTGAGTAAGAGTGAGACCCCATCTCTACTAAAAAAATGAAAAACTGGCTCGGCGCCTATAGCTCAACCGGC